CATGTGTCATGTCATGATTATGTAGGTGTCATGTCAGTCTTATGCACACCCCTTCAAGTAAAGTGTTACCAAAGCATTAAAAAAAAAAAGAAAGTATAACAAAGTTATAGAAGTTTAAGTTTGCAGTAAAAATAATGCAGTATACGTTTTTTTTTAATTGTATATAAAATAAATACTTTATAAAATATGTTGCACTTCAAATTGCTATAAAATCTAAGCCATATGTCTAACCAAGTTATGTTCCGATTAGGCCACGACTCCCCCCCCATACAAACATTTAGAGACAGATTACAAAAAAATTAAGCATTTAATTCATAAAATTTCAATGTAAACCTAATACACTAATGCTGAATAACAGCTTTTTAAACAGGTAAGTCCCCTCCAACGTGTAAATATGTGAACTAGATCAACTTTTAATGCTGCCCGTGAGCTAAACAAAGAATGTATGAGCAAAGTCAATATATCTAAATATTCACAACAAGCACCCTTTCAACATGAAATCAAGAAATGAGACCTACACCTTCCCTGCCTCTCCCCACAGCCTCTCATATGTTTGTATCCCACAGGATACGTTGCCAGTTTTAGGGTTAAGCTGTTTACAGCGCATTCAAGGTACATTGTGTCAGTTTGTGTGTTTCCTGGCGGCTGAACCTAAGAAGATCTTAGAGCTACAGAACAAATTTACATAGGTCTATAACTAAATATTTGTATGGGGATATTTCACACAAAATTAAAAATCTATTAGCTTATCATCGTACCCTTGTTTTTGTTTTTTTCCATACAACTGTGTGGTATTCCAAGTCCATGCAAAAATTATTTTCTTAGTATTTTTGTCTTGTTTTTCACTGATAAACAATATCTAAACATTCTTAAATCAAGATATTTAAGAAGCAAAATGGTATAAGAAAATAAAAAAATATCAAAATTAAACGACTTTATGCTTAAAACAACAGATATTCAGTAGGATAAGAAAAATAGAACTTGTTTATTTGGAAAACAAGACTTAATATCTAAGTAAGTTTGCTTCTCAAGTATGTGTATCATGATTTAAGAATGTTTAGATATTTATATTGGAAAAGAAGACAAAAATACTAAGATTTTTTTAATTTTTATTATTGTTTGTTTTTTATGGAGCACACAAAATTATTTAGATTTATTTCAAACCACACATTAGCACTATTGTGTTCATCACTGTAATAGTATTGTGTACGTGTGTAAGAGAGTGAGAGAACTTGTGTGTATTGTGTGTATTGTGTGTTACAGAAAGAATGAATTGTCTGTGTGTTCCTATTTCTGACACAACTGTAGTATTGTATTGAATGTCCCAATCTGACTCTAAAGGTCACAGCTCACTCACTGTGCTTCAAAGTCTGTGTGTGTGTGTGTGTGTATGTATGTGTGTGTACTTGAACTACTATCTTTGTGAGAGCCAGTTTGAGGTTTAGCCATTGGAGTGAGGACCAAGAGGGTCCTTACTTTCTGGCACCCCTTTAAAGGGCTGTTTGTGGGTTAAGACTTGGTTTTAGGGTCAAGGTTATAATGAAGTTAACGCTAGGGTTAGGGTTAGGCAATGAATGTCTTCACAAAGATAGCTGTACAAGAATGAATGTTTGTGTGTGTGTGTGTGTGTGTGTGTGTGTGTGTGTGTGTGTGT